TAGCCCTCCCACTTCCTTCCCCTTTGCCCCTTTTCTTCCTATAATAGGCATTCTTACAGTTGAGTGAGAAAATGTATATATTAAATGATAGTCATTAGGGGTAGAGATGAGGAGCAGCTTTTATTTTCTCTTAGCTGCTGAGTTGACACCCAGTTTCTTTTGGGGTTTGTTTGGTCATTAATTATATGCCTAAGAGTGAGTAAATTATAAAATCAATCCTGTACTTTAGAACTTTGATGGATTTCAGTTTACATGAATATCTGTGATCAAAGCTAACCTCTTACTGATACATACAGCATATAGATATAGCCATTGGAAAAGATTTTAGTGGAAACCTATTCCAGATAAGAGTCTTTGAAATGTTTTATTTTTTTTTATCCATTAAGTTTATCAGTACATTTTAGGTATACAATACAGTTACATTCATCATTGGAATCTTGTACCTTTACATGATGTATCTTGGTTGAAATGTTTTAAATATCATCCCTGCCTATACCATAGATGGGAAATTTGGGCTTGGGGCAATAGAGATGGAGGGGGTAGCCTTCTGTGGTAGACTTCACTATTCATGCTTTTTCTTCCAGGCTCCTCTTTTGGAGTTTTACAGTGGCTACACGACCTTTGAGCTTCACCCTCTGGTTAGACAGCTGAACATCTTGCTGACTTACCATTATTGTGATAGGCTCAAGACTGTGTATACGAAGTATTCTCACGAGTAAGTACCAAGCCATAGCTGAGGTTGGGTTTGTGGTCATTCTTGGAGATGCTTTGAAACATTACACACAGACTACATTCACTTAAGAGAAATGGTCTCAGACACTTTTCTGTCTTCCTTTCTACTAAAGCAAGATAGCAAACGAAGGGCTCTATGTCCCACTTAAACCACTTGAAGTCTGTTTGGCTTTGACCTATTTTATACTGAACTGACCTTTCTTTCTCTTGCAGAAAGTTCTTTGAAGTCACCAAAACTCCCCCCTTGGACATAGCAACACTGGATGAGATTTTTATGTACTGATTATCAAGCTGAGGATCTGGCACTTTGGCAGCAGGCATCAGGGCCAGCCAGGCATGCCAATAGGCTGTATTTATTATGTGCTTGAATTTGTCTCTTATATACTTTTCTTCATTTTTCCCTCTCTTTGTTTGTCTTTTTCCCAACTGACAATGTTGTAAATATTTAAGTATTTAAGTTGTTTTATAAAAGAAAAGTTATTTTGTTATATTTGACTAGAAATTTAATAAAAAATTAATGGTTGTTGTTAAAATGGCTCATCTCCCTTCTTATTGTTCTGGAGCCCTATGCATAGCATAAGAAATTTTTCTCCTGCTAGTAAAGTCTGTGCCTGAAGGTCTGGCTTATCTAATTTCCTCCTCTTTGGAGGGCACATTTGATCTCAATCTTAGTATGCTTTATTTGCTTCTTAGATGATGAAAAGGTGAGGATATGGATTTTAACCTAAATGTAGCTCTACTTTTATAGTTAGCTTTTTAAAGTCTAGAGTTGAAAAAAAATGTTTGGAGTCATGCAATGAAACCTTTTGTTTTTTGACTTTCTGCTAAGAGAAATTTCTAGCTGTGAAATCAGCAAAATGTCCCACGAATGCAAGGATCAACCACTTGTTCAATCTCATTCCTAAAACCTTAAGAAGTTCTCCTCTCTGTCTCTCTGTATCCTATTCTTGGGGGTGATGTGTACAAGGACAGTTACTTATTAGCCGAGGAGGTGAACATTCCCTGTGCTACTCATCCAAGAGCCTCTGCCTCAGTCCCACCTCTAGGTGCTTCCCACAGGGCAGCAATAATGTCTGCCACAGCTGCAGAATGCCAGGACTCTATTCTCTATTCGTGGCTGGCAACTATCCTAATTGATCTGTGGCCATTTGTTACCACTCATCAGTTGTTTTGAGTATCAGCCCTTGGGATAGACATCTGGTAGAGAGAACAGTCAATGAAGATGTTTTGGAGAAAATACCTCCCCATGTAGATTTTCTGATGGGTTATGACAGGAAGGTAAGCACGAGAAACCCTTAGGTATTTCAGTGCTTTCTTTATCATTTAACCAGTTTCCCATTCTGCTTCCAACTTTGCTTTGCCTTAGAAATAAGACATCATTAGGTTCTTTCCTGTCCCATTCCAGTGCATTGCAAAATGACTGAAGGATAGAGCCAGAGAGGTCCAAGATGCTTGGCAGTAATTGTTCTAGTAGAGCCAACTTTGCATAAATATTTGGAAAACACTAACTTCAAAATCTCCAGCCTTGCTAAAATGAAATATCTTCTTATTTTTTGAGACAGGGTCTCACTATGTAGCCCAGGCTGGCCTCAAACTTGCAGCGATCCTCCTGCCTCAGCCTCCTGAGTGCTGGGATTACAGGCATGTGCCACCATGCCTGGCTAACTGAAGTATCTTTTGCCTGCTTTTTAATTCTGGAGCTTCATATCAGGGGAAATAACTAATAATTAACCCTGATATTTAGTGGCCCTAATGAAGTCATCAATCATATTTGTTGCTGCTGTTGCTATTGCCTCAAAATTTATTAGTCTCATCACTGCTTCAAAAGATAGGTATTTGTATCAGTTAGGGTTCACTAGAGCAACAGATCTTATATATATTAGGCTTATGATGCCTGCCTGTAGACCTGGAGCTCACTGCAGGGTCCTGTGTGAGTCTGTATTAGGAAGCTAAAGGGTCTGCTGGAAGGCTGAAGAGTCTGCTGTAAGCCTGGAGACAGATATCCAAAGGCAATGGCAAAGACTGGAGCTCCTCTGAAGAAGCAGAAGCAAGACTTCCTTCTTTCCCTTTTTATTTCATCCAGGCTACAAGCCTATTGGTACCACCCACACTCAGGGTGAATCTACCATCTTCAGTAAGTCAATCATCCATTCACACCCAGAACTGTGCTAAGCCAATATGCTAGGCATTTCTTATTTAAGTTGACATCACAATTAACTACCACAATATTAGAACTAGATCTTGTTATTTTCTGTCTTATCAAAGAAGTGCTTCTAATTTTATCAAGGATTTATTTTCATATTTTGATGACTCTTCAATTGTTTTTCTTTGTAATTGTATATATTTTAACAGTTTTATTGAGACGTAATTCATATACTAAGCAATTCATCCATTCAAAGTGTACAATGCAATGTTTTAATATATTTACACAGTGGTACATCTATCACCACTGCCTAATTTTGGAGCACTTTTTTGAGCCCATAAAGAAACCCCTAACCTATTAGCAATCAATCCTCATCTCTCATGCATTAGAAGTTAGTCCTCATCTCTCTCCCCCTACTCCCACTAATTTACTTTTGGTCTCTATAGATTTATCTATCTGGAATTTCATATAAAGGAATATACAATGTGTATCTTTTTGTGTCTGGCTTCTTAGCATAATTGTTTTAAAGTTTGTCCAAGTGGTAACATGTATCAATACTTCCTTTACTGTTTTTGGGTTTTTTTTTTGGTACCCGGGATCAAACTCGGGTCCTTGGGCTTGCAAGGCAGGCGGTGGCACCACTGAGCTAAATCCCCGGCCCTACTTGCTTTACTTTTATTATCAAATAATATTTCATTATATGGATAATACCACATTTTGTTTATCTAGTCATGAGTGGATGAATATTTGGTTTTTTTTCTACTTTTTGACTATTGTGAATAATTAAGCAATGAACATTCATGTATATGTTTTTTTTTTCATGTATACGTTTTAATGTGGACATTGGTTTTTATTTTTCTTGGGTATATACTTGGGATGAAGTTGCTAGATCATATGGTGACTTCATTCTTTTGCACACAGATATTCAGTTGTTTGTTCCAACACTTGGCTGAAAGAAATTATTTCTCCCACCCCCCCATAATTGTTTTGCCATCTTTGTTGAAAATTAACTGTAAATACAAGAGTTTATTTCTGGATTTTCTAATTTATTCCATTTACCTATAGGTCTTTAACCAAGTGTGCCGCTGAAGTTTTTTAAATTTTTTAAATCCACACATAAAAATATCACTGAGGCTTTTTAGTTAGTTCTATAATTGGAAAATAAATTCTCTATTTCCTTGCAGATTATTTTGGCTCTTTTAAGTCTATATAATTTCCATATGAATTTTAGTATCTTGTTAATTTCTGAAAAGTCAGCTGGAATTTCTTTTAGAGATTACGTTAAATTTGAAGGTCAATTTGGGAGTATTGTTATCTTAGCCATCTTCTAATCTTTGGATTTGAGATGCTTTTCCTCCTAGTTTTCAGAATATAAGTTTTATACTTTGGTTGTAGTTATTCCTAAGTATTTTTATAGAGTCATCACTTCTGTGTCACTTTTAATTTTTCTTTATTCCTGCATTTTCATTCTCTTCCTATTTTCTATTCTTTTTCTATCTTGAAAACATGCTCAAGAATTTCGTCTCACACACTATTATGGTTTCGCTATAAAATGTCCTCTGAAAGTCTCATGTGTTTGGAAGATAATTGGATCATAAGGGCACTATGCTCATCAGTGGATTCATCCATTGATGAGTTCAGTAGCTCATTGTGCTATTAGAAGGTGGGAACTGGTCAGAAGTGATGAGTCATTGGGGATATAACCTGGAAGGATATATTTCCCAAGCTCTTCCCTTTTTCTCTTGCCTCCTGGCTGCCATGATATGAGCCACTTTTTTCCTAATAGGCTCTTCTACCATGATATTTCTGCCTTGGAATCAGCCAGCCATGCACTGTATCCTCTGAAAACCATGGGCCCAAATAAACCTCTCCTCCTTTAAGTTGTGGATGTTGGATATTTTGTCCCAGCAATAGGAAAGGGGCTAAGTTACTTTCTTGTCACTTGACCACAATACCAGACACCTGCAATTTAAAGGAAAGGTTTGTTTTGGTTCAAAGTTTCAATCCTTGCATGATTAGCCTGCTCCAAGGCAAGAATGGCAAGCTAAAAGGACATGATGGAAGAAAAGCTGCTTGTGTCATGGTTGTCAGGAAGCAGAGTGAAGGGAGAAGTCAAGGAGTAGATACATCCAGTTCACACCCCTAGTGACTTGCCTCCAGCCAGACCCCACCTCCTAACAGCAAATTAGCTTTACAGCCCCAATGGTCCAATCACTGTCCAAAAGCCCTATTTCTGAAAACATGAAGCTCTTAGGAGACATTTAGATCCAAATCATAACATTCCACTCCAGCCCCTGAAAAACTCATGCACACCTCTTTAGCAAAATGCATGTAGTCCATCTTATGAATCACCAAAGTTTTAAGTGGTGCTGAAAAGTCCAAGTCCAAGGTCTCCTCTAGATTCAAGTCAAACTAAACTGTGAGCTCCTGTAAATATCAAAAAGAAGCACCTCTGACATAAAATGGCACAGCATAAACATTCCCATTCCAAAAGAGAGGAATAGGAGGATAGAAACAAATGAGGCCAAAGCAAGACTGAAACCCAGCAAGGAGGTCATTTAATTCCTGTAACTTATGTCCAGGACCTGGGGCAAAGACGTAAACTTCAAATGGCTGGGGTAGCCCTGCTCCTATGGCATTGAAGGTTATAGTCCTCATGGCTTCTCTCTTGGGTTGGCTTTTCTCCTTGCAACTTTCCTCCGATGTTCCACATTTGGGGCTTCTCTAACTTCCTGGAGTCTCCACTGCACTTTTGGCTTCACTCTCAGTTTCATGCACTACACTCTCAGAGGTACACTGAAGTCTGGACAGAAGCCTCCCTGACCCAGCAACTCTTGCATTCTGCGTGCCTATAAAACCAGCACTTTGTGCACTGTGTCAAGGTTTGCTACCAGTTCAGGCAGTAGCCAGGCCAGCTTGAACCATGGCTACAGTGGCCTCTGCGTGCCTGGATGGCTGGGCACTATAAAACAGATCCTAGCAAACCAATTCCCTAGCTGGCCCTTTTTGAGCAGGGAGTCCTGAAGCTTTCTCAAAGCAAAGTCTTTCACTTCTTTTTCCAGCACTAGGGATCGAACTCAGGACCTTGGGTTTACAAGGCAGGTGCTGCACCACTGAGCTAAATCCCTGGCCCAAGTCTTTCACTTTTGCATAGTGAAGGGTGAAATCTTGCTTTTTCCTGGGCTGCCCTGAAGGCATCCTTCCTATTGTCCTGCTGTAAATTACTGGATTTTTAAAAAACATCTTTTCAGCAACCTCACTCTGGAAGGAACTGAATTTGTGTTTCCTTTGTGGGGAAACTGAAAACATTTTA